TTCTTAAATCTAAAATAAGCAAAGGATTTTTTTTTTTTATTTTATTTAAGTAACTCTCCACCCAACATGGGGCTGGAACTCACTATCCAGAGAACAAGAGTCGTATGCTCTTCCGACTGAAACAGCCAGGGGCCCCAAACAGAAGCTTGTCTTTAATGACAAAAAAAATTGCTTCTGTCAAACACATCCATAATTTTCCCCCAGAATATATTGGTTTGCACTGCTATTTAAAAACTAAAAGGTCGTCGAAAGCAAGGAAATTCTGAGAAACCGTCGGGGCCAAGAAGAGATGAAGGAGACAGGACAATGACATGTAATGTGGAGTTGTGGAGGGGACACTGGGAACAAGATATTAAGGAAAAACTAAGGAGATCCGAATAAACTATGGGCTTTAATTTGTAATATTGTATCAATATCGGTTCGTTAATTGTAACAAATGTACCACACTAATCTCAACCGTTAAGAGGAGGGGAAACGGTGTGGAATACACCAGGCACTCTGTACTCTCCTGTCCATTTTTCTGTAAATCTAAAATAGTTCTAAAAACAGTTATATAACTGTCCTAAAAACCGTTTACTTAAAAAAAAGCTAACACTATTACTTGAACTTCAGTTGTTCTCACTTTTTACTTTTTCATCCATTTGTTTAGCTGGCTATTCGGCTCCCTGAGGACCTCTGGGTTTTTATGACTGCTGGGGAGGTGGCTGAGGCCAGAGACCATTACAGACACTCGGGTTCTGAACAAAGGGCGTTTGAATAAAGGTCAAGGTGATTGAAGAAACTGGCATCTTTTACTTGTACCCTCTTACCTGCCTCCCTAATAAGCATTATATTTTTCTAAAACAAAACAGAATTAAAGTGCATAAATGTTCTTTGAAATTCCCAGTGTCAGGCTATCTCACCACGACCTGAGAAAAGCGCTCAATTTCCTGAAAGGAGGCGCCTAATGACAGACTCAATCCTACCAGCGTTATTAGAGCAAATGCAAGCAGAAAAGATGCAGAAGTCGGGCTCATTCGGTAAGGGGTGAACTGCAAGATACGGATGGCATGGCTTAAGGCTCTCTGGGTTGCAAGTAAGAAACAACTCTGCTGACTCAAGCCAAAGGTTTCTGACACGCACGCGGGCACATGCGGGGGCGTCCTACCTTGTGGGTCGGAGGGAGCGCAGGGTAGCGACGCGGTGCGTGGCGCTGCTCCGGAAAACTCGGGAAACTCTCAGCTGCCAGAGGCCTGGCTCCTTTTTCCTCAGACCCGCAGGCCGGATTCCGCCTGGGGCAGCTGGGGGGCCTGGGGCCCACCCCCAGCTCGGGTGGCATGGGAGCTCTCCCACCGCTCACCCCGTGGAGTTAGGGGGTGCGGGCAGCACCCCCCCCCGCCCCAGCCAGCAAGGTGGGTAGGAGATGGAGGGGAGCTGGCAAACTGACGCAGGCGCAACAGCTCCCTGGGAGGAAAGGGGGTGGGCAGGACAGGCCTCACCCAGGTTTCGGGGCAGAGGTAGGGGGTCCGGCCTGACTCTGGAGGCTCTAAGGCGTGCAGGACGGCTCACGTCTGTTTTTAACTGCCTGGTCTTTGCCTCGTGGTCCTGGGAACAACCCCAGCTGTGAGTATTTTAAACACCCCGGGTGGTTCTCATTTGCAGCAGGATTGAGAATCACTGTCTTCTTTATTCCCCAGCGTCGGCTTCCTCTCAACTCAGATTTGCCAATGCCCCCCTGGCATCTCCCAGGCCATTTTTCCAACTTCCGTTTCTCCTAGACGGATTCGCTCCGTATTTCTTGACTGGAGTGCCCTTATTTGTTTGCCCAGAGCTTTCCACCAGCCATGAGCTGTCCTTGGGTCATTTACTCTCGCCTTTCCAGTTTGGATTCCCAAGAAAGACGACTGGATTCCTTCGCTCTTTGCCAGCGCCAGCATATGGGTGGGGCTTCGTGGCCCCGGGTCCCCTCCCAGGCTGCAGGCCAGCCGGTGCCCTGGCTGCTCGTTCGGTGGTCTAATCAGGGGAGAGAGGGGCACTACATGAACCCATGGGACCAAAGGGGCCTGGGGGAGGGCTGTGCATGGGGCAGTGTCCCTTTGATTGATTGATCTGGTCAGCAAGCACCTACCTCAAGATGCTTTGGATTTTCCACTGGAAAACTGGACACTGTTTTTAAAAGGACACATGACTCAGAAACTGTACCCCCTCCTTCCACAAGTAGCACGTAATCAGCAAGCTAAGAGTTGGCTCTGTCAGATGCAACCTTATACTCTGGCCACTCTGATTAAACAATTTCTTCTTGTGTAATCAACTAAAAAGAAACTCTGATTCCTCCAACTTTCCTTTTAATTTTGGAGGAAGAACAACTGCAGAGGGGGTAGGGGAGCTCCTTGAAAAAGTTCTTGTTGCCAGATTTGGGAACAGACATGTGGCCGTGGTAGGGCTGACACATTTCTCCGGGCCTGGAGAGTCGCCTGGGGTGGGGAGACGGGGTGAAGCCAGGGAAGACTTCGAGTTTCCCTGGTGTCCCCGGACTCCTAGCAGGCCTGCCAGGCCCCATCACCTTTCCCTCCGCTCAAGAATACCTGTTGTTTGTCCCCAGCCTCTTCTTGAAACAGAACCCCCCACTTTTTGAGGCGATTGCTCCTCCCTCCACTCTAACGCCGAGTCCGGAGAGAGGCTGCCGCATCACCTGCCTCCTCAGTGGCTCCTGATTCAAGGCGGGCCGGTCGGAGGCCTTCCCGGGCATTCTTTGGACTGGAACTTGGAAGGAAAGTCTGCCCTTCTCACGGCTTGGACATTAAGTATAAAAATTAAGAGCCACGGGCAGGACAGTGAGTCATACCCTGGCAGTATATGGTGAACGCCAGTCTGCAATAAATATATCTACGATAAAGCTGATCTGCAGAGAGAAGCAGACAGGAGATGCGGAGACCCAGGGGTGTCGTGAGCTCCTGACCTTGCGCCCCTTTCTGCAGTCCGGCCCTCCCACCTCTCCTTCAATATGTGAAATGCCCCAGCATCCTGCCCATACTGCACACATGTACAGTGTGCAGTTATCTGTTGCTCTAGAACTTACCCTGAAACTTAGTGCCTTCAAACAACAAGTATTTATTACCTCCCAGTTTCTGTTAGTCAAGAATTGGGAGTAGCTTAGCTGAGTGGTTCTGGCAAGCTGCAGTCAAGATGTCAGCTGGGGCGACAGTTGTCTGATGGCTCAACGGTGACTGTGACTTGGAAGGACCCACTTCCAAGATGGCTTACCCAAATGGTTCTTGTTTTGGCAGAACGTTTGGTGCCCTGCTGGCTATTGGCAGGCCCGTGTCATTGGCTGTTGGTAAGAGGCCTCCGTTCCCCACATGGGCATCTCCACAGGCTGCTTGAGTGCCCTCACAGCATGGTGGCTACCTGCCCCCAGAGTGAGCAGTCTGAGAGAGAGCAAGGAGGAAGCCACAGTGTCTTTTATGACATAGTCTCTGAAGCGGCCCCTTGTCCTTTCTACTGGATTCTGTTCTTTAGAAGCAGAGGACTACGTCCAGCCCACCCTCAGGACAATTAGCCTCCACACAAGTAACCAACATGTGTCTAATTCTGTGATCTCTCTGTCCTCACTGACCGCTACCATCTTCTGGCCCCTGGGACTCCATTCTTCGGTGTTTCCCCACTACGCCACCCAAAAGCTGTCCTCTGGGGCGCTCTTTCAGAGGTGCCCCCGATCCTCAGTTCTGTTTTATCCTGGCGTCTCAGCTCTTATACAACTCCGTGAATCTCTTCCATGTAAAAGGCGGCTCTGCCTTGGCAGGACACCAATCCCTCCCCCTTACTGTGGAGTTGGAGAATATTTTTAAACCCCAAATGGGGGCATGTATATGAACAGATTATTTAAAACTTGTGCTGCCCCAAAACTCAGGCCCGAGGTCGTTTTAACCACATCCTTTCACTACTTCGGGACATACTAGGGAATCTCGAGAAATGCTAGTGACCACCGGTTTCCCTGGTGAGCAGCTCCACGAAAGACAAAGGAGGCATTTGAGGAAGGAGCGGATGGTCAGCCTGGCGTCACCATGGTGACTGGGGTGCCGAGGACTGAGAGCGGCAGTGGACACGGTCTCTCAGACAGCTGTCCAGGAGGGAAGTGGGGGCGGGACGGCAGGAGCCCCACTGTGAACCCATCAGGGCTCTCTCTCGGTTGCAAGCAACAGACACCGACCAGACTGATGTGAACAATAAAGAATTTAGTGAAAGGACATGGAACAATCCCAAAATTTCTGGCAAGATTGGCGAACTGGCTTCTGAAAGTGGGCAGGGACAGGAAGGCTCTGTTACCAGAGCCCGGATCATGCCGCAGACCCAGACAGCGCGACCGCCACCACGGACTCCAGAGCCCCGCAGCTTGCGACACTGACTCTGTCACTACCAGCAGCCGGAAGGCCGGATCCGCTGCCTCAGCGGCTGGGATGGGTGCGCCGCCACCCCTCTTTCTCGGCTCACTTGCTCCGCATTCAGAGTCCACGTCCGTCTCATGGGCTGAGTCTAGACCTACCCATGCCCATATGCAAGTGAGCTAGGAAAGCAGACCTTTCCCGCTTCCGCTGCGGGAGATGGGCTGCACCTCCCTCCAAGATGCGGAGGGCGGGGCATCTTCAAGCACGAAGAAGACCTTGACCCTGGCATCCCAGACTCCTCAGAGTCCACGCCAGGCAGTCAGAAAGTGAAGGTCTAAGATCATTCTTGTAAGAAGTTTGGAGGGGGAGGGAAAGCCAGGCATTCGACCGAGGGAACAGCAAAACCAAAGGACATATTTTTTCTTTCTTTTTCTCTTTTGGGTAAGATTAAGGGGCCTTAAGAGCAGTTTCCTAGAGGAGAAGAAAGAAGAAAGTCTCTTGACATGACAGAACGAGCTGGCACTTCCCTCCACATGTGTAGCAACAGGACACAACTGACAAGGACGAGACCTTTGGACAAAGGACACTGCCTCCGAAACAGAGGAACCAGACGCATCACCAATGACTCTTCGAAGGTTTCGGATGTCTGTTGCCTTTAATTAAACTCTAAATAGAGAACATATTCTTCTATGATTATAGTATGGAAATGTCTATGAACAAAATAGATAACTTTTTTGGCAAATGCCTAGGAAAGAATGGTGTCAGCCAAGTTCACCGAAGGCGTTAAGCAGCAGCATCTACGCGGCCAGGACGTGGTCAGTGCTTGGGGACGGAGGTAAATATCCGCAATCCGTGCATCCCTTTGATTTCTTCTTTCAGTGCCTAAGTAAGGAGAAGAGCATCACTGTTTTGCATCCGACACCGAGCACAGTAAGTCTCTCTGAGAGTATCTGTATATAGCTCTGTCTCCGTAGGAGGCGCTGCACGTGCTTTGTCTGAGCAGTTTCCCCTTTTTTTTAGAAAACAGTTTTTTGTTTTTTTGAATCAATGTCTAATGAGGCTCAAAAATCAAAAGTTATAGAAAGGCATGCAGTGAAGTTTCCCCCCTCCACCTGCCCTGCACCACCTCCCATTCCCACCTCCATCTCCAAAGGAGAGAAGTGGTGTCAATTTCTTGTATGTCTTTGCAATGATTGAAAAATGCATGTTTAAGCTAATATGAATATATATCCACCCTGCTACCTTTTATTTTTTTTTAAGATTTTTATTTATTTATTTGACAGAGAGAGACACAGCGAGAGAGGCAACACAAGCAAGGGGAGTGGGAGAGGGAGAAGCAGGCTTCCCGCCGAGCAGGGAGCCCCATGCGGGGCTCCATCCCAGGACCCTGGGATCATGACCTGAGCCGAAGGTGGACGTCTAATGACTAAGCCACCCAGGCACCCCCACCCTGCTACCTTTTAATAGCATAAATGGTAGCATGTCAAACACCTTGTTCTACACCTCCCCTTCTCCACCAGCCACTGGAGATCTTAATTGTGTACAGCTGGTGGGCCTACCAATTTGCCTGGTATTTAGGTAGCTATGTGCCTCTGGCCCAGCCTGATTGGTCCAGGGGTGACACATGACCCAAACTGGGCCAATCAGAATCTCTGCTGGGATTTTTCCCTGTGGAGCCTTGTCTCTTGGGTCACTATACTTGAACAATGTCAGTTGGAGGTGGCTGGGGGCCATGTTCTCCAACAAAACGAGAAAGCCCATCTCCAGTAGGAGAAAATGAGGCCAAAACACAGAAGCCAAAAGCTCAGCGAGGGGGAGAGAGAGAACATGAAAAAGACAAGCAGAGGAACTTAAGACCCTGAATCTAGATATGCCAGAAACCAGATAATTTAACTGCACAGGCCATTTAATTCCCTTTGTTTGCTTTTGCTAGCTTACAACAAAAAAATTCCTAATATGTGCAGTCGGTTTACGGGGAAGGATCCTTAGAGATAATCTAGTCCTATCCCTTTCTTTGATAAAAGACACAGAATCTACCCCCTGTCCAAACCCAGCAAGTGGGGAGCAGAATCAGGACCTGACCCTGATGTTCTGGTGACCCCTCGTCCCCCTCGGGCCCCCGTCCCGCCCTGATGCTAGGAGCTGCTGTGTGCTGGGGGCCGATGAACTGCCCTGGCCCTTCCACGTTCACCGGCAGCCCCCTCAACTCTGTAGACAACAGAAATACCCTGGGGAAAAAGCCTCATGTCATGTCATGGGGCGGGGGGGGGGGGGGGAGGGGGGGCAGGAAAGGGAACACAGCCCCTGGGCCCCAAGCTCTCTGCTTTCTGCAGGCACAGAATGCCCCCTAAAGGCTGTCCCCGTCCCTGTGTTTGGGCTGTCACCTGGGTCACAATCCTTAAAGCCTCCTTGGCTAGGCGTGGGCCCAGCCGCCCTTCACGTGGAAAGCCTTGACCCCTCATGCCCTGTGCACTTAGCCCTCCCAGTGCCTTCTACCAGCTCTCTCACAGGCTTCTAAGGGCCTGTGACCCAGGTCACAGTATCTCCCAGCTACAGGGGGCCCTAAAGGTCATGCGGGTCACTTCACAGTTGAGGTCCTGGTCGGGAAGTGACTTAGCCATAGCCCCACAGTTCACAAGATGTAGTTTGGGTAAACATTTCTCAGCGTCCGCTACTGTGATGGGGTTGCAGGTGTAAAAGGCAAGGGGAAGTAATACAAGGGCACACAAAACGGACATGGCGCACAGTGACAGGCACTGCTGGACCACGAGGCTGCGAGCGCTGCTGTGGGTGTGGGGATGGAGCCAGCCTGCACTGGCCGTTCGTGGAGCGGGGCAGCTGGGAGTGGGACGGGCAGAGGGACCAAGTACTGGGCCCAGGAGGGAAGGCCAGGGACCTGCCACGATGCACGGGGGGAAGCCTGGCTGTGAGTCAGGAGCAGGCGGTGCGAGACTGAGGCAGGCTCCAGAGGGGAGGGTGGGGCTGGACTCCCTGGGCACTCAGGGCACCCGCTGCAGGGCTCTGGGCAGGGGAGGCATGGGCTGAGGCACCCTCAGGGGCAGGTGCACGGGCAACAAGCGGGAAAGACGCCGGAGAAGGGGAGAGGGCGACTGCTATTGGCTGAATGCCTTCCGCATGCATCGCGAGGCCAGGCACGTGTTGGCCAACAACTCATGCGATCTTTGCCAACACAGACACTGAGGCTTGGGTCCCGCTGTGAAGCAGCCAAGAAGGAACCAGCTTCCTCCAACATAAAAGGGAACTCAGTGCTCACTTCTCTCCCTGGGTCTGTTCCCCAGGGCGGGAATAGGATGGATGCCATCCTTGGGGCCTGGCCCAAAGTCAACACCAATGACTATTCCAGAAGAGAAGGCTGATGAACCCTGGGAGCTGAACGAGGCCAGGCTACACATGGGCAGGGTCCCTGAGGAACCGCACATTCCTGCTGAGGGTGGAACAGGTGTGAGTCGTGACAGCAGGGATGCCCGTCCCCAGGGAATCAGGCAGGGACTGTCTGACCAGTAGTGGACTCCAGTATCAGATGGACAAGGTGGCCTTTTCAGGGCCTTTTGGGCCTAAGAGTCTCGATTCTATTAGAGTGACTAAGCAAGATCAACGAGGAAAGCTTCACCCAGTCCAGGCCCATCAGGACCCCACCCGGCTTCTCCCGCTCGGAGGGTGCCGGGGGAAGTCTGAGTTCTGCAGGGGTCCAGAGGAAGCCTTGAGCCCATGACATTCCCTCAAACCCAGGGAATGGCTGCCTTCCTCCTCCCCCCAGCACGGTGCGGGCTCTGCCAATGCTGTGGACAAGGATGACAACAGCGATGGCCGCTGACATTTACCGAGGGCTTACGAGCTGTCAGACTGCGTTCCGGTGCCACGCGTGTGTTCTACCACGAATTTGCAAAACAGCCCTTTGAGGCAAGTACTGTTTCTCTCCCCGGTGACAGATTAAAGAACCGAGGCACAGGGAGGTTGAGTAAGTTGCTCAGGATCACACAGCTAGAAAGTAGCAGAGCCCACATGCGTAATGTGGGCAGACAGACTCCAGAAACTGCATCCTTAACCACTTGTATCGGTGGCCCCAGGCCAGGGGATGTGCTCAAATTCACAGCGCCCCTCAGAGCCCAGGCGCACCAGGCAGCCTGAGGAGTTCTAGGGACAAAACCCAAAGTCCTGCTGTTTGGGGACGATTTGGGCCCATCAGGTCTTCCCTGTCTTGCCTTGGCTCCCACCCCTGAGATCACACGGGACAAGAAGTACTTTCGGGGGAGCAGAGAGGCCGTTCTACCCCAGACCTCCCAGCAGACCCGCAGCACGCCATATGGCTGAAGGTGTCCGCGTGCAAGTGAAGGACTGGGCTCTTTGAGGAAGGCAAAGATAGATCCAAAAGGGAACAGCCCACAGAGGGATGACAGGGCCAAGGGACAGACAGCAGGGTCCTAAGTATCCAGGACACAAGGCAGAGAAGGCTGGAGTCAGAGGGTGTGGGGACATTCGTTTCCTGCCAGGCAGGTGGAGGTGCGGGGGTTGGGGGGGCAGCATTTGAGCTGGGTGCCGGAGGAGAGGAAGGGAACCCAGGCAGGAGGGCTGATCTGGGCAAAGATCCAGAGGCACAGACAGAACAACGGGCAGGGGCCAAGGGAGGCTTCGTTCGGGGAAGGGTGGGGAAAGGTCTGGAATAGCAGTCTGGGACACCTGAACTGGATACACAAGGGGCCACAGAGGGACTCTCATGACCAGAGCTGTGCTGGACAAAAATGAAACTAGTTTCACAATGTGCAAGACCTTCCAGAACAATGTAAGACACACCCACTGTGGGGTGTGGCCCACAGGCCAGGGCCCAGGCTGCTGTAAATCCCAAGTAAAAGAAGCAGAGATCATGAATAAACTGGACCTGAGTCTGGTTAAATCTGATGTTCCAGACCTCCCATATCCTGTCACTGGGTCTGGGTCAGCTGGGGCAATTCTCAATCGTGCCATGCCTCAATTTACCCATCTGTAAAGCAGTCCAAAGAGACGCTAAAAAAAAAAAAAATCTTCAAATCTACAAAAACATCTATTTTTTAGTACTTGTATGTTTACAAATATATACAGTAAATATTGGTAGCATTATACAAAAAAATACAGAAGGAAATGCAAAATAACTATTGGGTGGCTTCTTTTCAATTCTGAATAAAATTCCTATTTGCCCACCGTCTGATTCCAGGTAAGTTCCAGATTACATTTTGCTCAGGTCCTGAATGCTGTCTGCATGAGCGTGGTATTGCCTTAATCTTTCCCAGGGCTGACAGTTAAACACCATCCCTGCTCGTCAGGCCCTTTAAGATGCTGGAGACCAATGGCAACGGAGCCGTGTTGCTTCTACTGACCTGATTTACCATCTGGTGCTGCTGGACAGTTCTCTTCTCCTTAAATTCTTCTGACTCGATCCGGATTTCATACATCGCCCCACAGCCGCCTGAAATAAACATGACTCAAAAGTGTTTCAATTATTAACTTACAGCAGCCACTGTCCCATATGTCCTCAAAGTACCATACAATCCAAAGAAGGTCTGAATATTCTTATTCAGCAGAAAGTTGCTGATACGGTTAGAAAAACCTCACAGCTGACGACCGGACCACATGCTCCCCGCGGGGCCGCCTTGATCCAAAATGTGCTCTTCCTTTCGCAAGTCAGCTGCACGTACCCAGGATTGTGCCTTGTGGGGCATGAAAGGTAAGGCACAGAGCACAGAAAGCCTAGGAAATGTCGGTTTGTTTCATATTTCTATTGAGTAGGCCAGGAAACCCCCTAGAGGAGGAGGGGCGGGAGAGGCTGAATTCCCGTGTTCGACCCCACCACAGGGGCAGCAATCGGTATTTGTAAAAATGCAAAAATACACTACAGTTTGGTCTGAAAAAAACCTGTGTAATAGAGCTGCGTGGGTCTCTCTCTCTCTCTTTTTTTTTTTTTGGATTTTATTTATTTATTTGAAAGAGAGAGATCAAACACAAGCAGGGGGAGCAACAGAGGCAGAGGGAGAAGCAGGTTTCCCGCGGAGCAGGGAGCCCGACGTGGGGCTCGATCCCAGGACCCCGGGATCAAGACCTGAGCCGAAGGCAGCCGCTTCACCGACTGAGCCAGCCAGGCGGCCCTGCACGGGGCTCTCTTCAGCCCCTCCTGGTCTGTGAGCAGCCTCAAGGGTCTCATCCCGGGCTCCCTCGGGGAGGGAATAGCTTTCTGGTCAAGCTGTCTGCGGTGGACACATCCACCCGCACCCACATGGCCGGCGAGCTCGCGCCGATGACCGACGCAAGTGTGCTGCCCTGGCATGAACCGACGCGGGCAAGAGAGAACATGTGCCCTGTGCTGGGGGCACGTGGCCAGTTTATGGGAAGTGCAAGTTACTCAGCAGGCTTTATGCGCCCCAGGAACCGAGCTGCCCGGCCTCGGTTCCTTTTCCACACTCTGCTCAGGGTGAGGCAGAGCCAGACAGAAGGTCAAGTTCCAGCTCTGACTGACCTGGGCCTGGGGCAGGTATAGGACTGAGGACCTCATGGCCATGCAGGGTGCCAAAGACACATGTGGGTATGCAGAGATGCAGGTGGACGGCCACCTAACTGCCCCCGCTAAGCTGTTCCACAGGTGCGTCTGGACAAAGGCCCTGTCCTCCTGGCCTGTGGGTGCAGAACTCGCCTCCCCACCCCGTTCCTAACACGCAGCCAGTCTGAACTTCTGAGGCGCCTGGGGCTGGCAGCTGGACTCAGGACAGAGTCCGCCTGTGTCCCCCTGTGTCCTGGTGCTGGTTCCAGTTCTGCCACCTCCTCCCTGGGAGGGGCTGAGCAGGTTGTTTGGCCTTTCTGGGCTCGGCTCCTCGTGGGGAAAGTAAGGAAGTTATTTTCAAAAGGATAAAATCCTTCTGGGATCCGCCCCAGCTCTAACATTCTAGGGTGTCAGAGAATGTGGCGAAATTAATGTTCATCTGGAAGTCAAATTAAAGACCGTGGGCCTGAGCCCCAGAGAGACCGAGAGCCAGGCTAGGCTAGCAACCATGAGTCCTCCCAGCCAGGCCTTATCCTCACACACAGTCTCCCTCCCACGCCTGCACATCCGCACCTCCAGCCATCGGCTGGGAGAGACTGAATTCCATCTGTCCAAAAGCCACACGTACTGAGAAGCGGCTGATGGCGAATGTGCTCTGCCCAGTGCCCTGGCCCTGCGGAGGGCAAAATCCTAGCAGACCGCGTGGGAAAGATGAGAGAAAACCTCACCTGAAATGTCGGTGACTTGGATAGCTGTAGCTCCAGGAAACCTTTCTTTGAGAATTTGGGTCACTCTGAGCTCCCCCTCAGTTTGCGAGGCAAACATTCGCTGGACACAGTGGAGAAGAGGAAGCTGCCACAGAACAGAGGAGAGTCATGGCCGAGCGAGATGATGGTGTCCTCAGGCCGGGCCTGGCCACTGTGCAGGTCCCACCTACCACTGCCCCGCCAGCCAGGGCCCAGGCCCCCCGCCAGCATGGCCATGGGCTGCATCCCAGGGACTGCGTGGCATCGCATGTCCACTGAAGCTCCCCAAGGCACAGAATAAACTTCTTGGGGAGTTGGTGGAGTCGGGGAGTGGAATTGTAAATAACTCACTTTGACTCCAGAGCAAGACAAACTTAACAGATCTTGAACTCCTCCTCACGATAATGCTGTCAGAGAGACACCATCATGGTGTCAATTTTGGAGGTGAAGAAACGGGAGGACTGTGGCAAGTGCTAAGGCTGGGCCCACTGGTGAGATGTGGAGCCAGAGGCCAGGCAGCCCGCCTCAGACATGCCTCCCCGGGCCAGCGTGCCACTGACCAAATGCTGAGACCAAATGCCACCTGTCTTTTAGGCCTGATTCACATTCCACACCCTCCAGTGGGATGTGGCCTTGTGACGTACTGCTCACTAAGCAGGCTACACTTTGCTACATGTACCAATTCTTACTGGGGAGAAGCAGCAGAATTCTGTTAAAGGACCTGAAGGAGAAACATTTTTAGATTATTTACCACTGGCAACAACACTCCCCCTGCCCCCAGTGGCGACCAAGGAGAGCCAGTGCTTCTGATAGGAACATGTCTCAACCCTTACGGGAGACAGAGCAAAAAACCAAGTCTGCAGCCCTTTGACTGGGTTGTGCACATGCTAAAAGGGAGACTGAAAAGAGAGCATGGCAGGCCCTGAATGTCAGGCTAAAGATCTTGGCGTTTGTTAGGCCTCTTGGTGCCAAAGTAACCTGCACAAAACAGTGCCTTTTGAAGCTAGTCAGGAAAGAGGCCCAGATGAGAGGTATTACAAAGGGAGTAGCCTGGGCATCAGACTGGAGGGGGGTGACAGATGGGACACACGAGCGCTGTTCATCTAGTGTTGGTGCTGAAGGTACCATCCCTTCACCCTTCAGTCCCACCTGTCCTCAGGCTGTTCCTGATGGCCCAGAGCAGGGTCCTGTGTTAGAGAGTCTCAAAGCACCTTCTTCTTTTTTTTAAAGTAGGCTCCACACCCAGCAGGGAGCCCAATGCAGGGCTTGAACTCACCACCCTGAGTTCCAGACTTGAGCTGAGATCGAAAGTCCGACGCTTAACTGACTGAGCCACCCAGGCGCCCCTTGAAGCCCCTGCTTTAAAATGACCTGTGCCCTGGCTCTTTCACTAGCTGGTTTCAAAGGCCAAGACTGAGTCCATCCTGTCACTGCGGCCTTCCAAAGCTGGGCCAGGACAGGCCCTCTGGGAGACTTGGGTGATGGACGGATGGACGGATGAGCACAGTGAGCACACCATTCAGGGCATGCCTACTCACACGGGCAAAGAAGTCTCAATTCTAGCAGGCAGTTGAGATGCAGGTCAGAAGAAAGATCTGGAGGGAGACTGAGTGCTGTGTGGAGGGACAGAAACTTGATGTTGGGGGCCTGGCTAAAACTGGGATGGAGGAGGGGGGTGTGGAGCCTCCTCTGAGGACAGAGCCTTGGGGAGCAAAGGCAGAGGGTAACCAGGTGGCAGGCAGAAGCAGAAATCGCTAAGGGCTGAGGGTACTTAGCATTGCTGATTTCTTGGGAGGTCTTTCCTCCATTTTAGCTAATCTGTAGGCAGTGGCCTTTACACGAGCCATCTACTGACAAAATCCCTAGAATCCTGACTGTCCCGCTGAAAGTCACCAGCTCTTTATCCTCGGCGGAGACGGGTTCAAGAGCGGCCGGCGAGGAGGAAGAAGGGAAGAGCAAAGTGGATGAAGTGAGGAAAGGATGACTCAGAAACGAGGAGAGAAACTTCGGCGAGCGCGCGGGCAGTGCCCTCTGCCGGGCTTCTACGCAGGGCGTGTGGGGCTTGGAGAGGGCACGGAGGCTGGGAGGACTTGCCCGAAGCCCAGACCCTCGCACTCTCCGGCACCCACGCCAGGACTCCGGGCTGTGACTGCCAGGTCTCCGGCTCAGTACCTCAACGCCGCTTTCTCCGCGCCCGCGGGATCACGACGGTTTCTGTGTCTGGTCCCCTCGCCCCCCACCTCCACCGGCTCAGGAGCTCCGCCAGCGCGCGCCGGGGCCTGACACTTCTCCGAGCCCCGCCGCCCCGGCCCACTGAAGGACCCAACCCACTAGGAATGAATGAGAGAAAGGAAGGGGAGGCCCCCGGGCCCTGCGCCGCGCTCTACGGGAGCCGGTCCTCGAGCCCCGGCCGCGGTCGGCCCCGCGGCCCCTCGGCATCTCCCGCCCGGGAAGAGCAGCCCGGCCCCGCTGCTCACCCCGCGGATCCCACGGAGCAGCGGCGCTGCCGCGGCCGGGCTCCACGCCGCCATGCCCGGCCGACGCGGCCCGCCGCCCGAGGTCGCGGGCCGCGTCCCTTGAGAGGCGCGGAGCCGGGGGCCGGGAGCCGCCGCCGCGGGCGAGGCCGCCCCCTGCCGCCCGGAGGCCGCGAGCCGCCCCGCCCGGGCCGCGTCCTCGCCCGGGGGACGCCTCCCCGGAACCTGCTGCTCCGCCGGTTCGCGACCCTCCCCGGCCCGGTCCGCGCCGCGCTCCGCCAGCCTCCGGGGGTCGTTCCCCCAGCGGGCCCTTCTTGCCCAGCCTGGGGACGCCCGGGGTTCTCGCCCTCCGATCTGAGCTGCCCACACGCCAGTGCCCCTCGCGCCGTAGGTAGGACATCTCCCTTGCCATCCCCACCGCCCGCAACCTGGCTTCCAAACTGGGGCGTGTGGGTTTCTCCCTCCAGAACGGGCGAGCCGTGGAGGGACATTAAGTAGGGGAGTCGATTTCAGATTTGCGTTTTAGAAAGATCGCTCGGGCTCCTGCGAAGAGGAGGGGCTGTAGGGGGCTGACACCGGAGACGAGGACAGAAGTTCTGAGGCTACCGCAATGGCCCGGGTGAGATTTGGGGTCTTGACGAGAGCTGGGGCCGCAGGGATGGAGGAGTGGATCTGGATACTTGGGAGGGGAAGGGAATGGAGTGACTGGATTGGGCGGCGAGGGTGAGGAAGGTGTCTGGCGTGGACAGTGCGATGGGTGGCGGAGGGCGAGGTCTGGAGTGAAGGGGGCCGACAAACTCAGTTTTGGTTTTGCCTGGGTTTAAGGTGCCTGCTGGACAGGGCCCAGGAGAGAAGTAGCCGGGAACCACAGACCGTGGAGTCCTGAGAATGTAGTGGAAGCTGCCGCCTTGAGGACGGTAAGATTATCCAGCCAACCTGCCCCACCTCTGAACTGATTGAGACAGATGTCAAGGCCGGAATTCGACAAAGCCCTTTCTCTCTCTAGCAGTATATTTGGGCAGCATGTGGTCTGGTATACCCTGCAGGCTTCACCAATTCCTTTTGCTATTGCATTCCCGCCTGTGCAATCATGTTCATCCAAGCGTTGCACTTGGATGAATTGGACGGACCTACAGTTGCTCTTTAAAGTGATCACCTATATATATGCGTATTCGTTCCAGTATTGAGTGACTTCTATGTTTTGGGTCTCATAATTTCTCCTTTGCATTACTCTAATAACCTTTCTCACACTTATTGCTTGATTCCTTAAAACTCATGGTCGGTGGGATTAGGGATAACTTGCTAACTTTTCATTTTTCTTCACGGGTGTAATTAAAACTACGAAAAATATTTTTCCCGTTGTGTAGTAGTGAACCACCCTTTGCTCCTCATACCACGCGGTTCAGATAAAGTCGAGCCGTCCCCAGCTCCGAGAGTGGTCACATGACCCAGGTCTGGCCCATCAGGCACGGATTGGTTTGGGTTGGTCACATGATCTGAGCCAGCCCAGTGAGAGTTGGTCTAGAGAGTGGCCCGGCACTAAGGAAAGGAAAGGGTCCTTTGCTACTGAGCGCCTGCGGCTGGCTGCCACCTTTGTAATCATGTGCACAGCACCCATTTTGGAAATGAAATAGATACAAAAGGAGTTGTTGAGAGACAGATGTTTACCACTGTTTGTCAAGTAGTGCCAGAAAGGAGCACTAAAGTCATTTTAGTTGGTTGGGTTGTTACTTGTAAGAGACCCACGTTAAACTCACTGATTTGTATTTGCCGAATTCCTCTTTTATTGAAAATCAGTACTTTTGCTTATCTTCAACCTTCCTCTTCTTCCTAATTTCACGATCGTTCACATTATTATTGTTATTTTGGACCGTCACTCTGCCCTAGTATCCAGTATCCTCCCCTCCGTGTCTCCACACTGCTGTCAGAGCCCATCTGAAGTGAAAACCTTCCATTATTTGCTTATCTAAAATCCTTCTGACCCTCCATCACCTACTGGCAAAAACCCAAGTTCTTTCATATGATTTAACCCCTACCTACCTGTCCGACTGAAATCCACCCTTCAGTAATACTGGACGGCTGGTACCTCCCTGTACAAACTACGCCTCAAGCTTGCTTATGTGGTTACCCATCTTATAAGCCGGCTCAAGCCTTATCTTCTCCAGGCAGACACCTCTGATGGCCCCACAGTAAACTCAGGAGCCCACAACTTATGCATAACTTTTACTGCACATATGGCAATCAGAGAACTCTACCAATTTATGTAGGTGTCTGTTTTTCCCAGTGGTCCCTGAGCTCCACCCCAGGCTCTTGATTTAGTCTTGGCAGCTGCCCAGCTTGGCATAGAACAAAAAGTGCACACACACACTAGGATTACTAAACAGAGCTGAACAGTGGTTTAGCCATTCTAGCTCCAGAGTGTGAATTTGAACCTTTTTAGGAAAGGATTTGCAGAACAATCTCACCAATCCTGGGCTTCCAAATTAGTTCCAATTTAACATTTCAAGTGTAACTTTTTATGATAGAAGCAAATAGAAGGCAGTTTTACTTTGTTATGATTAAAAGTATAATAGCTTTAGTCCCAGTCCTAGGTGGCTGTAAGGATTAAATAAGATAACCTGCTGAAGCCCATTTACAATTGCACCCAAAACCATAAGATACCTAGGAATAAATCTAACCAAAGAGGCAAAGAATCTGTACTCAGAAAACTATAGAATACTCATGAAAGAAATTGAGGCAGACACAAAGAAATGGAAAAACATTCCATGCTCAGGGATTGGAAGAACAAATATTATGAAAATGTCAATGCTACCTAGAGCAACCTACACATTCAATGCCATCCCTATCAAAACACCATCAACTTTTTTCAAAGAAATGGGACAAATAATCCTAAAATTTGTATGGAACCAGAAAAGATCCCGAATAGCCAGAGGAATGTTGAAAAAGAAAAGCAAAGCCGGTGGCATCACAATCCCGGACTTCAAGCTCTATTACAAAGCTGTCATCATTGGGCGCCTGGGTGGCTCAGTCATTAAGCGTCTGCCTTCGGCTCAGGTCATGATCTCAGGGTCCTGGGATCGAGTCCCACATCGGGTTCCCTCCTCGGTGGGAAGCCTGCTCTCCCTCTCCCAGTCCCGCTGCTTGTGTTCCTGCTCTCGCTATCTCTGTCTCTGTCAAATAAATAAATAAAATCTTTAAAAAAAAAACAAAAAACAAAGCTGTCATCATCAAGACAGTATGGTACTGGCACAAAAAGAGACACATAGATCAATGGAACAGAATAGAGAGCCCAGAAATGGACCCTCAACTCTATGGTCAACAAATCTTCGACAAAGCAGGAAAGAAAATCCAATGGAAAAAGACAGTGTCTTCAACAAATGGTGTTGGGAAAATTGGACAGCCACATGCCGAAGAATGAAACTGGACCATTTCCTTACACCACACACAAAAATAGACTCAACATGGTTGAAAGACCTAAATGGGAGACAGGAGTCCATCAACATCCTAAAGGAGAACACAGGCAGCAACCTCTTCCTAGAAACATCGCCAAAGGCAAGGGAAGCAAGGGCAAAAAGGAACTATTGGGACTTCATCAAGATAAAAAGCTTTTGCACAGCAAAAGAAACAGTCAACAAAACCAAAAGACAACCAACAGAATGGGAGAAGATATTTGCAAATGACATATCAGATAAAGGGCTAGTATCCAAAATCTATAAAGAACTTATCAAACTCAACACCCAAAGAACAAAGAATCCAATCAAGAAATGGGCAGAAGACATGAACAGACATTTCTGCAAAGACATACGAATGGCCAACAGACACATGAAAAAGTGCTCAACATCGCGGGGCATCAGGGAAATCCAAATCAAAACCTCAATGAGATACCACCTCACACCTGTCAGAATGGCTAAAATTAACAAGTCAGGAAATGACAGATGTTGGCGAGGATGCGGAGAAAGGGGAACCCTCCTACGCTGTTGGTGGGAATGCAAGGTGGTGCGACCACTCTGGAAAACAGTATGGAGGTTCGTCAAAAAGTTGAAAATAGAGCTACCCTATAACCCAGCATTTGCAGTACTGGGTATTTACCCCAAAGATACAAATGTAGTGATTCGAAGGGGCACCTGCACCCCAATGTTTATAGCAGCAATATCCACAATAGCCAAACTATGGAAAAGAGCCTAGATGTCCATCAACAGATGAATGGATAAAGATGTGGTGTATGTATATATGTATATACATACACACACACACACACACACATACATATACACAATGGAATATTATACAACCATCAAAAAACCCGAAATCTTGCCATTTGCAACAACGTGGATGGAACTAGAGGGTATTATGCTAAGTGAAATAAGTCAATCAGATAAAGACAATTATCATATGATCTCACTGATATGAGGAATTTGAGAAACAAGACAGAGGATCAGAGGGGAAGGGAGGGAAAAATGAAACAAGATGAAACCAGAGAGGGAGACAAACCATAAGAGACTCTTAATCTCAGGAAACAAACTGAGGGTTGCTGGAGTGGAGGGAGGTGGGAGGGATGGGGTGGCTGGGTGATGGACTTTGGGGAGGGTATGTGCTATGGTGAGCACTGTGAATTGTGTAAGACTGTTGAATCACAGACCTATACCCCTGAAACAAATTATACATTATATGTTAATAAAAAAAAAAGATAACCTGCTGAAGGACTCCCCTAAACAGGTAGGCTACCCTAAAGAAGTGGTATTTAAAGTGCTCATCAACCACAAGAACTTGACCAGAATCTGAATCAGTAATTGATTTCCTTCACTTAGCAAATAGCTACAAAAAATGTCCGTTGAGCTGAACAGTGTGCCCAGAAAACTTACATTCTAGTGAAAACTCCCTTATCTTTTCACAGAGCAGGAACAAAAAGTTCAGGGCAGGAGCCAGTCCCAAATTTTTCGAACAACCAGCATCAATTTTGCGGTGAACTCTAAACCTACAAGTAAAATCCAGAAACTTCCCCAGCCTCTCTAGCAGCCAGGACAGAGGTATATGACCTAGGATCTACCAAATCTGAGGTGCCCCTTATGTGTTTGTGTTTTGTTTTGTTTGTTTTTGTCACCCATGTACATTTTTTATTATAAGACACAGGAAAGGAAGACGGTTTTAGGTAAAATTCTTTATTCTGGTCAGGGCTGATGCATCGGGCTTTTGGGAGGCACTGACGCAGAGACTGACATCTAGTGGTCAGCAATAATGGTGCAGGCTGTAGTGTCCATTCCAAGGCCTTCAGCCCAGTTATTAGCTAGAGGGCCTGAGACATGGTGTAGACCCTGTAGCTTTGAAGCCTGACTCCGGCCCTCCCAAAGATTATTTGGGTTATTCTACTACTCATTTATAAAGTTTAAAATAGCTTTCAAACTTAGACATTAGACATCCTTACATTTTTGTGAGCGATTATAATCCTATTGAAATGTAACAATCAAAAAAAATCCAAAACTGATCAAGAGTTTGTATCTTATACAAAATAGGAGTGTTAACCCATATTATTTAGCCATATTAACTTCTAAATTTTAACTCTAATCAAAAGGTCAAAACAATTCTAGCATTGCTATTTTGAATTAAAATTAGGCACCTGTAATTTGGACCTCTAAAAATCACTCTCGTATTTCTCCTACGAGAACAAAAACCGGCTATTTGGGGTGGGCGGTCTTATGATGAGCATTCAGCTCACGGTCAGAAAATCATGAGTCCATTCTCTCCTCTTCCCTTTTCTCAATCCACGACCAGGAATATGCAAAAAAGAGATCAGGAGACTACTAATTTTTTGTCTGGGATGGGTTTTAGCCACTGTAATTGTAGGTCTAGTTTGTTTCTTGGGGGTGGGTCCTTGGTATTGTAGTTTATTTAGGGACTTCTCTTTCCTCTAAGAGTTAAG